CCGCGCCCGCTCCCGGAGGCTGAGCGCCCTTCTGCGCGGGGCAGGCCGCTTGCGGGGGCACGGCTCGCCCCGGAAAGGAAAGTCTGCGCGGTGTGAAGCGGGTCATTCGTTTTGGGAGCTGAACCAAGGGGTGTCTCCGGAGGGAGGCGGGCAGTCGTGCTCGGGGCGAGCCGTCGTCGGCTGTCAGGCTGACGGGGATGTCCTTCACTCCTGCCGGCAGGCTTCGTTAGACTCCGCTCCCGGGGAGCCGCTGGGTCCGGCCAGTCCAGCAGCCTCCCTGCAATGAAAACTGAACAGCAACAGCTCTGGCTGTTCAGCAACAGCTACTCAGGGTGACTGACGGTTGCCACATCTTAGCCCTCTTACCTGAAAAGCTACATCTTGCACTCTGCGCCCCTGCGTAGAGATAATGATCGTTTCTTCCTTGGTAACTCCGGTTTTACTCTGAAACGCTTCAGAGCACAGCAGGCATTTGGGAAAACTCTGAGAGTAGATCTTTTTGTTACATGATAGCAATGAACTGTAGGTGCTTACTTAAAAAAAAAACAAAACGCTTTTACTCCTCTCTGATTTGCCGTCATGCTCACATCTGCTTTTCTGTCATGACCCCTGGTAGTGCAGGGATTTCCTTTGGAAAAAAAGCACCAAGACAGAAATGCTCATCCTCTATTCACTCTGAATACTTATTCACTCCATATACTTAAAGGAAAGTGAAGAGTAACTCGACATCTCCCTTCTTTCACCTCCTGTTTCCAGCTGCTCTTCATGTTTGTTGTAGCTGTGTTGATAAATCTCTTTAATGTCTTTAGGTGATTAACGCTCTCTTTTTTTATGGCCCTGATCCAGCTCAAATAACTTGAGTTTGCGTGAGTTCAAAATACTATTATTAAGTGTGAAAAATGTCCCTAGTCTGTCTAAAGTACAGAGCAGACAGCCTGCCAGCAGACAGTCTGTTTGTATCAGTGGTATATATGCCATCTGAGTTCCGGGGTCTCATTCAGCACTGCTGTGCTGTGCATAAGCATATTTGTGTATAAACAGATATCTATATCTAGAAATACCACCAAAGTCCTTGAAGTGAATTTCCAATCTTTCCCCCTTTTTCTTCTAGAACACAGTTGCTAACGTTACCGGTTTGATATAAGCTACAAAAATATTTCAGGACTTTCCTCTAATTCTGTTAGCTATTTTTTAAATGGGGAAAAGCAGTGTAAACACCTATGACTTCTGCTTATATCTAATTGCATTTCAAGTAAATAACTTTTAAAAATGGGAACTGTCCTGACAAACTGACTTACATGTCATAGTACAAAACACTGAATACTACCTGTTCATGGAAGCTGTGGACACAAACTATTTTATATAAGAAGGCCAAAATTATTTTTTAAAAGTGATTCTACCTCAAACTTAGCCTCTTTTTTTTTCTTTTTTGTTTTATCCCAATTCCCCACCACCCTTTTCATGCTAACATTTAAATTCATTACTTCAGTTTGAGTAGCTTTGACTTACTTACAGAATCATTATATATGTAGCTGTAGCTGAGCAACAGAGTGGTGGGGGTATGTATGTAAGAAGGAAAAGTTATGCCCTTCTAACAGGCTCTTCCCTCTGAGAGATTGCCCTTCTCTGTAAGCCTTTAGCATCTTTGCCTTCTAGTCTTCCCCATGAAAAGTGGAATTTAAGTTCTAGGTCAGAAAATATTTTGGTATCTAATTTTTTTGCTTTCCAACTCACCCAAAAGAGAAATTATTCAGATTCACCAAAATCTGAAATGAAGTTATTTTTGGTTTTTGTTACATTTAATGAGCTGAAAAATCCATTGCCCATCCCGTTGTTTGTGGCTTTCTTAATAGGTCTCATCCAACTACCTCCTGTAACACATTATTACTGCTTACATGCTATTTCCACAGGAATACTGATCAGAAATAGCTTGATGCTAACCTCCAAGCTGCCTAACATCTATTCATCTGCAAGGCATTGCACAAGTCATGACAATACAGTAAACATGGGATCTGACTACTGAGAAGACTGACTACTCAGGAAGAGAAAGATGTCCTTAAGTATGCTGCTGCGGCCTATATTCTGTTCTGCTGCCTGCCAGCATTTAGAGAATAGTGTTACAAAGTGTTTTCAGCGATACTTTGTAATAGAAGTATCTTGGATATTAAGTTCAAATCCCGCAGTTGTTACATAGTTGCTTAACTAATGACAAACCATTAACGGTTGACAATGTGACCCCACGGCAATTAGAATTGTTTATTTCAGCTGAAGAGCAAGAAACAAAACAAAACAAATTATATTTTCCAGAATATGTTTCTTCCTGATAGTAATGAATTATGCACCGGGTTATAATTCATATTTAAGGAGATATAGATTTGTTTTTTTCCTTTTTTTTTTTTTTTTTTTAACGAGTACATCTTTTCAGAATAAATGTTGATGTTCGTGTGATATCCACAAGATGGCATGCCATGCCTTCTTTTTCAGCGTCTGTAGGTTTGGGCTTAAGGTTTACAATCTTCTCAGAAACAGAGAAGACCTTGAGAAATAGTAAGTCAAGGAAGTATTTGTTTAAGAACTATGTAGTTAGGTAATTTCACAGAAGTCTAACTGATGACTTCTATTTCATTCTGTCAAATAGTTGTAATGTGAATAATTTCTGTCAGTCATCATGATGAATTACTGTGATCCAGCTAAAAACTTAAGCCATCCTTGATACAGGACATGTTTTTCTTTTGTTTGTAATTGTACCTAGTTCATATTGGAGAGGGGGATCTTGAGTAGAATTTAGTTACCTGTACTAAAATTTAGTAGAGTTAGTAGACATGCTTCTTCCAAAAGTGTCATCAAATTTTAGTGATGAGCATGTCTGCTAGCATTGTCAGCCAAGAGGAGAGCAGTTCGATTGTTCATACCTGCAATGAGAAAACTCAGGCGCTATTTCAGGCAGCTAGGAAGGAACTTCTGTTCCCTGCTTATGCTACTTTAACTACAGCTATTGTTGTTAGTGGAAAGGGTTTAAATATTTTCCGTGTATATATATATACTGCCATAGAAAGCAGAATAAAGAAAACAGAGCACGTGCTTTGTCACCTGTGTAGGGCCCGTGCCAGGTTACCTGACTGAATATAAGCTTTATGGACTCATCATATTAACCAATGTTTAATGCAATGCAGCACACACTCTATTCATCTTGTTTCATAGTAAAACATATGACTTGTATCACATCACAACCCCGTGCCAGAGTCCCTGCCTCCTGCTGCCATGCT